AGATAGATAGATAGATAGATAGATAGATAGATAGATAGATAGATAGATAGATAGTTTTTTGGTAAAACAATGGAAGTTCTCTGTCTTAAAAATATCTTTTTACAGATTGAGTCTTTCAAATCAAAATCTAAACAGTTGGTTCGCTTGTTGAATTTGATTGTTATTTCTCTTAAATCTCTGTCAGTCCAGAGCCATTTTCCTTTCTTTTTCCCTTGCTATTGCCAGGAAGGAATCAGGTTATTGGTCAAAGAATGTTTAACATTCTGAAGTTATCTTTTCCTCCTTGGAGTGAACTTGTCCCTCTGTTTCCTGTATTTTCTGTAAAATGGAACTTAAGTCTACAGAGCCTTGATTAAATTCAGGTCAGTTTATTTGAGGATGAAAAGAATACTTCGTATGAAATGGTTAGTGTGTCAGATTGTAGTTATTAGGAGACACAGAAGGTTTAATTGTACCCTTTTAGTGATACTGTTGTCCCACTTTTAGTGATACTAAGATTGATGACTGGATTTAGGTACTGCCAGTGTGAAATTCCCCATCCAACTTTCATCAGTCGTTTGATGAATCATTACCTGAATCAATTATTTCATTTAGGATTATAAAGTGATCATTTTCTCAATGTGTGATTTCTTCCATACTTAATTACTGTAGTCCTATGAAAAAAATTGTTTTTTCCTGGGCTCCTAGGTGGCCCAGTCATTTAAGCATCCAGCTCTTGATTTTAGCTCAGGTCAAGATCTCATAGTTGTGGGATCCAGCCCTGCAGCATGGAGCCTGCTTGGGATTCTCCCTCTCCCTCTCTCTCTACCCCTGCCCCACTTGCACGTTTGCTTGCTCTCCCTCCCTCTCAAAATAAATAACAACAAAAAAAATCCCTTGGGGCACTTGGGTGACTCAGTTGGCTAAACATCAAACTCTTGATTCTTGATGTAGGCTCACAGTTCATGAGATCAAGCCCTGAGTAGAGCCTGCTTGGGATTCTCTCTCTCTCTCTCTCTCTCTGCCCCTCCCCTGCTCACATGCTCTCACACACTCTCTCTCTCTCTCTCTCATACACAAAATAAATAAACCTTTTAAAAAAAATTTTCCCTTATCCTCTAGTCTGTTTAGTTATCCTGAAATGTTTAATTCTTGACTTTTGAGTACCAATTTTCAGTTAAAAGGCAATTCCCCTCATTCTTTCCAGTAGTGTCCAGTGCATAGTTTTGTTAATGGTTTTGTTTGTTTTTTGTACTTTTTTTGCCTTTTAAAAACTCAAGCAAATGTGTTTAACTATGAAAGCCATTTTTTTCCTTGCCAGGTAGATTAATTTTTAGTTTTATTGGTTGGTAAACATAATGTCGGTAAATTTTAAGGCTAGATGTCTTTTTCGTGATCCATCTTCAAAGCTTCCTTCCTCACATCATGGATTTATGTTCAAGGAATGCAAATTAAATATTAGTTCAAAAAATTGGAACGTAGATTGGATTTGAGCAGAAATTTTAGAAAAAAGAAATAGTAGTAAAGCATTCAACAGAATATTTTACAGGGGCGCTTGGGTGGCTGAGTCGGTTAAGCGTCCAACTCTGGCTCAGGTCATGATATCATGGTCCGTGAGTTCGAGCCCTGTGTCGGGCTCTGTGCGGCCAGCCTGCTTTGGATTCTGTATCTCCCTCTCTCTCTGCCCCACCCCCTCACACTGTCTCTCACTCTCAAAAATAAATAAACATTAAACAGAATATTTTACTATAGCATAAATCATCACAGTACTATAGAGCTCAGGTTTAATAAGCAAATTTGTTCAAAATGAGATCAAACTCCCATGTTGGAAGGCTTTAAATAGAATTCTAACATTAAGGAAAAATAAACATAAGCCCAAGATTTTTTAATATAGCTAAGTGATTATTCTTTCCTGGTTATGACTAAAATCGGGAGACCTGTCTCTAATTTTGGTTCTGCTTAGGTTTTACTTTGCTCATTTGTAAATTGAGATATTTGGACTGGTCACACCATGGGTTCTTCAACTCTGTATGATTCTGTGAAAATTTGCAAAAATGGGTTGGTCTGTATAGTATATCTTCTCTTTTTAATTAAAGAGTCTATTAATGTCGGGGCACTTAGGTGGCTCAGTCTGTTGAGCGTCCGACTTTGGCTCAGGTCGTCCAACTTTGGCTCAGGTCATGATCTCACAGTCAGTGAGTTAGAGCTCCGCGTGGGGCTCTTTGCTGACAGCTCGGAGCCTGGAGCCTGCTTCAGATTCTGTGTCTTCCTCTCTCTCTCTCTGCTCCACCCCTGCTCATGCTCTGTCTCTCAAGAATGAATAAATGTTAAAAAAAAAAAAAAGAATCTATTAATGTCTTGGTTAATTTATTAACTATTAAGGAAATTTTATTCTGGGTGGAAAAAGGATATTCCTCTGTGATAAAAAAAAGGATTTTTCTCATACTTCTAGGAATTTCAGGAGCAGCTAAAAATCACCACATTTAAAGATCTGGTCATCAGGGACAAGGAACTGACTGGGGCATTAATTGCTTCTCTTATCAACTGCTACATCAGAGATAATGCTGCTGTTGATGGCATTAGTTTACACTTACAGGACATCTGCCCCCTTCTGTATAGCACTGATGATGCAGTTTGCTCTAAGGTATGATGCTTTAGTAGCTGTATCAGTATTTCTTACAGGAGGTTTCATGGTATGAAAAACCCACTAGAACTGGAATTGGGAACCATCTTTTACTTAACATATGAAGTCCCTTGGGTAGGTCTCTTAACCTCTCCTGGCCTCAGAGTCTTTGTGCATAAGGGATCGGAATATATCATTTCTTAAAATCCTTGTATATTTAAGTTTTTCATAAAGAATTTTGATAGCATTTCTAGTGCATATATTTTTAAATGGTTAAGTAATGTTTCTCCTTAGAAATTAAAAATCACTAAAACTTTAAGTCTGTAATGAATTAGAGTTAATTGGGCAATTTTTATTGATCCTTTCCTACAGGTGAAAATAATTTAAAAAATCAGTATCACAATGGACTGCCTGCTGACCAATAATGTATTGACTAGGCAAGAGATTTACCAGTCAAAAGCTATCTTGATTTAAATATTTGTGAGAGGAATTAAGAATAGCTAGGATTTTTTGGTCAAAAATTTTTCTGCCTAAAATTAAGAAGAAGTAAGTTTGTAGAGTTTTTATTTTTTGATGAGATTTGTATTGAGACACAGATCAAAACTTGTGTTGATAGCATCATCTGTGTGCTGAATTTTATATCTTAAGTTCTTGTCATCTCTAATTCTAGGCAAATGAACTTCTGCAGCGTTCCCGACAAGTTCAAAATAAGATTGAAAAGGAAAGAATGTTAAGGGAATCCTTAAAGGAATATCAAAAAATCAGCAATCAAGTGGACCTTTCCAATGTTTGTGCTCAGTATAGACAAGGTGAGAAACAAAATGTTCATACCTTGTTCCTGACTCGGGGGACAAATGACGGAACAAGTTACTGATGAAGAGCTTCTTCCCAAAAGCAAATCCTCCTTCAACTTCAGTTGCCCAAGTGATACCACACAGGAAATTCATGCCTTGTGTTTTAGTATTTGATGACTGTACTAGCCTCTGCAAAATCTATTGTGCTCTTTTTATATCTTGAAACATAACTTTCCCACACTGGAGTTTCAGTCCTTGTCCAGTTAAACTACTGTCGGTATTAGATAGCTTCCTGGGTTTCATTTATTTTTTGGATGCTTTAAATTCTTCTAATTTTTAAAATAGTACCTGTCTGCTTGCTTTAAAATTATTTTAGGGGCACCTGGGTGGCTCAGTTGGTGAAACGTCCAACTCTTGATTTCAGCTCAGGTCATGATCTCACGTTTAGTGAGATCCGAGCCCCAAGTTGGGAATCCATGCTGACAGCACGGAGCCTGCTAGGAGTTCTCTCTCTCCCTCTCTCTCTGTCCCTTCCCTGTGACGTGAGGACATTCTCTCTCTCTCAAAATAAGTAAATAATCTGTTAAAAATAAAATAAAATTACTTTAAATCAAATCTAACATGCAAAAGTAATAACTGTTAGCACAGATATTGTTTTGAACTCCGAGATATTTTTTTTTCCATCCAGGAACTGAAACCTTCCCTTTTATTCTAACTATGAAAATGTTTTTCCAATGAAGAAGATGCATTTAATAGCTGCATTTTAGGCATATTGATACCTTGTTCTTTGGTAGATTCACCAGGCATATCTTATATGATACTGTCATCAGGTGACCAGTGTACAGTAGAGAAATAATAGCCTTGATCAGTATTTTTATAAACCAGCTAAGGGAAAACACATCCAGCCTAGTAATAACCCTTAACTTGGTCCTTTTCCTTTCTCATTAGTCCGTTTTTATGAGGGTGTGGTGGAGCTCTCTCTTACTGCTGCAGAAAAAAAAGATCCTCAGGGTCTTGGACTTCATTTCTATAAACATGGAGAACCAGAAGAAGACCTTGTGGGCCTGCAGGCTTTCCAAGAAAGGCAAGTTTCATCACCTTAGCAGATTGTTGACTTACAGACTTTTCTTGGTGTAAAGTTTGTTTGATAGTACTGTATTAGGAAATAATATTTTAAGTACACTTATAAAATTGGATTTTGCTTTCACTTAAAAATGTCTTGTTTTAGGGGCACCTGGGTGGCTCAGTTGGTTAAGCATCCGACTTTGGTTCAGGTCATGATCTCACAGTTTGTGGGTTCAAGCCCCAAGTTGGGCTCTGCGCTGACAGTGTGGAGCCTGCTTGAGATTCTCTCTGCCCCTCCCCCATGTGCATGCATGTGGGCTCTCACTCTCAAAAATAAATAAACTTTTTTTTTTTTAATGTCTTGTTTTTTTAAACTGAATTAGGATAATTCGTAGTTTAGAAGTTTTAGTCTGGTGAATATTCTTAAGGACTTGCCTCTCTAGTTTCTATAACACTTTATTAATGTCAATTTTAAGTGAAATAACTTGGGGCACCTGGGTGGCTCAGTTAGTTGAGTCTCTTGGTTTTGGCTCAGGTCATGATCCCAGGGTTGTGGGATCGAGCTCCAAGCTGAGCGTGGAGCCTGCCTGAGATTCCTTTTCTTCTCTTTCTCTCTCTCTCTCTCTCTCTCTCTTTCTCTTTCTCTTTTTCTCTCTCTCTTTCCCTCCCTCTCTCTCCCCACCTCCCTCCCTCACTGCCTCCCTCTGCCCCTCTCCCCAACTCATGTGTGCTCACGCTCTTAAATAAATAAAGAATGAATGAATGAATGAGCTAACTTATTTGGAACCATCTCTTCCCCTGCCTAATTTCTGGTTCTGGGTGAAGATGCATATTTTATTTTAAGGGATGATTTTTAAATGTTCACAAATTAGTAATGACTGTTAAAAAATGTGTGTCCACAAAGAAAATATATAACCTATCTAAAATGTGATTTTATTGATACATTCATTTTTATAACTTCAGTCTTTTTTGGTTAACCAGATGTTCCTAAAACCTAGAAAAAGTATACAATTTGTATTATTTTATCCAAATATATGTGTGTACATACATCTGTTTCCCAAAATAGTCTTCAAATTCTTCTGTGTATTTAAATTAGATAAGTCATTTGCTGTCTCATTAAATAATGCAGTTGTTCCTTTTCCATTCTTTTTCAGATTAAACAGTTACAAGTGTATTACAGACACGCTTCAAGAACTGGTAAATCAAAGTAAGGCTGCTCCTCAGTCTCCCAGTGTACCCAAAAAACCTGGGCCTCCAGTACTGTCATCTGACCCCAATATGCTGAGTAATGAAGAAGCAGGACATCATGTAAGAGACATAGCATATTTTTATTCTGAAATTACATTGTTTAGTTCCGTGTAGTAGTGGTGACAGCTCCTCTTGGGAAAGGTAGTAGCTCTGAGAACTTAGCATTTAATGATTCTCAATTTCAGGATTTTATAAGGTTGATGGTCATGATGTTCAGCAACAGCCTTTAACTGGTAATTTTTCCTTTTTTTTTATTTTAGTTTGAACAAATGCTTAAACTGTCTCAACGATCCAAAGATGAGCTCTTTAGTATCGCCCTTTATAATTGGCTAATACAAGCTGATCTTGCAGATAAGCTATTGCAGGTAAAAAATACTTTTATTCTAATATTGTTAATTTGTATTTTCAAGTAACATAACACAATGGATTAAGCATATGTATATTTACAGGAAATTCATTTTCTTATCCTGAACCTACCATTAGGTGTTAGAGTAAAGCCAGGTAACGTAATAATCTTTTCCTAGTGGGCAAAATAAGTTATTGCTCTAATTTTCTCATTATTTTAAGGCTGATATGGGTTGTTTATATAGTGGGGTGGAAATCACTGGATTATGAATTAGGAGACCTAAACTTGGTGTTACCTGTGTGTTAATTCAGTATGTGACCTCACACATGTCTTTTTACTATCCTAAGTCTCAGTGTTCTTCAGTCTGTAAAATAAATGTATGACATTTGATAATGGCAAGGATGTCTTTGAGCTAAGAGTCTAGGAATCTGTAGCTCTGTTTTCAAAGTTTATTAAGATTTATACTTGGATTGTAATTATTTTAATCAGCTTCATTTAAGTATCATAGCAGCTCTTTAACTCTGATAAAACAAAAGTCATACATATATAATGAGAAAAACTGTCCTCTGTTGGATTATAATTTTACTAATGTATTCATGAAACACGGCACACCTGTAGTCTTAAAATGTTATAGTTACTACATAAAGAGCAAGTAAATAGTTAGAAAATGTTTCTGAGTAACTGTATAATTTGCAGATTGCTTCTCCATTTCTGGAGCCACATCTAGTCCGAATGGCCAAAGTTGATCAAAACAAAGTTCGTTATATGGATTTACTGTGGAGATATTATGAAAAGAACAGAAGCTTTAGTAATGCTGCTCGTGTACTGTCCAAATTGGCTGACATGCATAGGTATGGTATAATACTCTCACTGTGAAGAATTATTGATAACTAACCTAGATCTAGTTACATCCAGATTTCAGAAAATAAATAGCGTCTGGCTGGCTCAGTTGGTAGAATTTGTAACTCAACCTCAGGGTTGTGAGTTTTAGCCCCATGTTGGATGTGGACTCTACTTAAAAAAAAAAAAAAAAAAGAAAAGAAAGAAAGAAAACCTCATTCGGGTTATATGCATGTAGAATTTTAATGCTTTTACTTGGACTGAAAGTTTACAGTTTTCTCTTTTTGTTTTTCATAGTGTGTAGAAGGTACCAAATACCCAATGCTTTTTTAATGCTTATTTATTTTGAGAAAGAGAGAGAGTTGGGGGAGGGGCAGAGGGAGAGGGAGACACAAGCAGGCTCTGTGCCATCTGCATAGAGCCTCATGTGGGGCTCGAACTCATGAACCATGAACCATGAACCATGAGATCATGACCCAAGCTGAAATCAAGAGTCAGACGCTTAACCAACTGACCTACCCAGGCACCCCCTGAAACTTTTCTTTAAAGTTTGTCTTTAGATTCTTTCCTACTAAAAGCAGTTAATTAGTATTCTTAATTAAAAGGACAAAAACTTCTCAAAGGCTTTACAATTTTAAGTGTTTTACTAATTCTAGACTTATTTCCTCTGCTCTCACATTGTTTTAAATTACTGAAAAAGTTTTGAGCATATATGTTGAAGATTATTAAGAATCTTGTTAAAGAAAGCATTGAAATTTCTAGTTCGATTATCATATCAAAAAACAATTTTTTTTTTTTTTAGAGAAAGAGCAAGTGAGGGGGGGAGAGAGAGAGAGAGAGAGAGAGAGAGAGAGAGAGAGAGAGAGAGAGAGAGAATCTTAAGCAGGCTCCCCACTGAGCACAGAGCCCATGTGGGGCTCTATCCCACAACCCTGGGATCATGACCTGAGCTGAAGTCAAGAGTCAGACACTCAACCAACTGAGCTGTGAGCTACCCAGACAACCCTCAAAATACGATTTAATACAATCTGGATAGATCATTAATTTGACCCTGTGTTTTCATTTGGAATTTTCTTTGCCAAAATAATGCAAGTGCTATTTCTAAAAACTGTAGATCAGTTAAGTTAGGAGGAGGATGTTGTTGAAGCAAAGCAGTTATTAAACCAAACTAATCAGAATGGTCATTTATGGGGATACCTGTTTGGCTCAGTCAGTAGAGCTTGCGACTCTTGATCTCAGGGTTGTGAATTCAAGCCCCACCATAGGCATAGAGCTTACATTAAAAAAAAAAAAAAAAATACATACATATGTACATACAATAAAGTAAAATAAATTTAAAGAGTCTAGATGTGACTAATAGCAAATGTGAGTATGTATATATGTGTTCTTAATTGCTCTTCCATTAGTATTTATTGTCCTTTTTCCTTGTTATAACAATAATTTTATTGTTATTAAGTATTCAGAAATTCTCTGACTTTTAAGAATACTTGTTATCCATATCTTCATTATACATAATACAGTGTAACCGAATTTCTTCCTCATGTGAGATACCCTGTCCATCCACAATTTAGCTCTCAGCTTACCATCTGTCTCCACAATAAAATATCTTTCCAACTATAATGTTACTTTTTATCACTATACTTTTTGTATATATAGTCTGCAAAAAATAAATTTGTAGTTATAGAATGTTCTATTTTAAGTAATTTAGAAATGTTACCACTTTTAATATGTTTAATTCAAGTATGTATTTTTTAGAGATGAGAGGGGAAAGAAAGGGAAGCTCCTTCAGAAATGGGTTCTAAATGTACTAAACAGACTCCTAAAATAGTCCTTTATGTGCAACATTAAGAGATGGTGAGTGCGAAGTAACTGTCCTCTACACCTGTACTTTGAAAGAAGGGAGAAAGGACTTAATTCTTTTTCCTTTTTGCTTTTTGCAGGGGGGAGCAGGGAGGGAGAAAATATGGAAACCATAGTTATACAGAAGGACAGTTTGAGATCTCTGAAAGGAAAAGCTAGTTTTTTCCTGATTCAAATTGAAAGTAATGGGGATATCAAAAGTTACATTTAATACTGGTTGCTTTGAGAGGTTCCCACCAACCAAATGAATTAGCGTGTTTGTTTTTAATGCCAAGTCACTTTATAATGTCAAAGAACCACATCTGATAGAGTTAGGGGATTGGAAAGGACTCAAGATGGTAACCATGGAGATGGATACATGTTTGGGGCTTTCTGACATCTGCCAGCCAGCCAGCGAGAGCACCAGTGATGTATGTTCAAGGAGTAGTGAGAAACATAAACACCATTTTTATTCCCAGGGAGCTCCCGTTCCAGTGGGTAGATTTCGTGCATGCAAGTTCAGGGTCTGTGAATACAATAAAAATAGGATAGTATGGTAGAAATTGCCGGATGAGGACGAGAGTGAGGAGCTGCTCTAGTTAAGATTGGTCAGAGGAGGCCTCACAAATTGTCATAAAAATTGATTCTTAAGTGACACGGATAGGCAGCTGTTAAAGAACAGAGGAAGGGGTCCAGGCATGGAGCAGTGGTCTCTGCAGAGGCAATCTATTCGATTCAAGTTTATCATGTTTAGAGTACAAAAAAAAGCCATTGGCTTGGAGATGGTGAACAAGGGAGCAAGTAGAAGGAGCAGAGGTTGAAGGAGTGGGTGAAGGCATGTGACATAATCGGATATTTGTTTTTAAGAGGTCAATCTAGTTGTTTTGTGGATGATCACATGTAGATTGGCCATATTCAGGTAGAGAAGCGAAGAATGTGAGGAGTAATCAAGAATGTTTTCCTTAATTTTAGTTTTAGAAGAATCCAAGTTTTAATATACCGAATTAAAGTTTTAAAATAAGATGTAACTTTTTTGGCTATAAACTTAAGTATTTCTTTATTTGATGCCTTAAATTGTAGATCTCTTTTATTAGAAATCCTATAATAATTTTTTCAAGTTTTAAATGGCCTTTTATGTTCATTTGGTGTATAAAAAATAATGTGTCATAATTGATATATTTGTATATTGGATCCTTAAGAATTCATATAAATAAAAATAAGAGTTTTTCCTCCCAGCACAGAAATTTCACTTCAGCAGCGACTAGAGTACATCGCTCGAGCCATTCTTAGTGCCAAAAGTTCCACTGCCATTTCATCAATAGCCGCAGATGGTGAATTCCTTCATGAATTAGAAGAAAAAATGGAAGTAAGTGCTAAAGATACTTAAGCTTTGTCTGCATTGATCAGTAGCCACATTTATTCCATTTTTTCCTTCTTCCTTCCAGTCAATAACAGGTCAGTAGCAGTCAGCATTATTCTAGTCTCTTCTGCCTACATGTGTTTATTTTCATATTTAGATATAAATATTTTAAAAGATTTTAAGTCTGTAGCACTTGGGTCACAGCACATTACTGTAATTAAAATTTTTTCTCTGTGGCATTTTTGAAGGTTTTTTCCAACTGTTCCAACACCAAGGACATTATATCACAATTACCATCTATTCTGGAAGCTAATGAGTAGATATATGAAATAGAGTAGGTTGAACTGCCCTAATTAAGAGACCCAGAAGTATATAATGGTCCAAATACAAAAGCTTATTCGTCATTCACAAATATCCACAGAGCTGGTGTTCCTGATTGGCCATTGGCTTTCTTCCACTTGATTGATTTCAAGACCCTATTTTACAGCTTTATTGTCTCCTGTGGTCTTACCTTTTCTTCTCTCAAAGGGAGTTAGAGAACAAAAAACATGTAAGACGCATATTCACTCTCTTAAAGACCTAAACCCTGAAGTGACATACTTTACTTCCACTCACATTCCTTTGAAGAGAACTTAATTTTATGCCGTATCTCCCTGCAAAGGAGTTGAGAAGTATAATCTAGGTATTGTCTGGCTACAGTCATGGGAAGAACGAATGTTAGAGGTAGCATAGGCTCTCTGCCACAGTATACTTCCTTTGAAATCTTTTATGTTGTGATGAAGAGTTGCTGGTCTCCTAGGTCTTTATTTACACATTTTTCTTATTGAGGTGTAATTGACATCTAACATATTACAGATGTGTAATGTAATGATTCAGTATTTTTAGATATTGCAAAATGATCACCGTATTAAATCTAGTTAACATTTATCATCATACATAATTACAATTTTTTTTCTTGTGATAAGAGCTTTTAAGATCTATTCAACACCTATCAAATATGCACTATGGTGTTATTAACTATAGTCACTATGCTGTTTTGTATACATTAGTTTTACTTTAACAAACTTAAAGTCAGATACTAGGAATCATTCCTTCAAGTACTTGTTGATTTATCATAAAGAACATAAGACTTGCTTTTTTTTAATCCAAACTAGGTTGCTAGGATCCAACTTCAGATACAAGAGACACTACAAAGGCAATATTCCCATCATTCTTCTGTACAGGATGCAATTTCTCAGCTGGATTCCGAACTAATGGACATAACTAAGGTAATAAAAAAGCAAGTTGAATTACTCTAGCAGTCACCTAATATCTACAGATTCTTTGTTTCTTTTGTGTTCTACTCTGTATTTCATGGGAAAGATTAATCTATCTCCACAAAATAAGATAAGCCATTCTTGGGAGCATGTTGCTGGGCTGACAAATCACTGCTGTGGTATCTTACTCTTAGGAAGAGTTTACTTGCTCTTTGCAGGCCATTTTCTACCAAAAATCTATCAGCCTCACATGGGGCTTTGTTAAAATTCCTGCCATCTATTTTATGGCCTTGTTTCTTGTCTTGGAAAAGTAATTTATGTTTCCTTGTATCTTCAAGCCTCTCCCACTCTGTATTTCTGAGCAATTCCTTTTTCAATTATTCTTGAACATTTCTCCAAATACTGTGAAACACTCTGAGATTTGTCAGTATTTCCAAGATTTTGGAAACCCTAGTTTAGACAACACTAATTATAAAAGAAATATCATTGCAGTATCTCCCTGCCAGCCAAGGGGGGAAAAAGGCACAGATGTTGAAATCTATTTAAATGTATTTACCGTGCCTTCACCATTCTTAATCTGGGGTTATGACAGCTGTATGTCATCATGTCTTTATATCATGTATTAGGAACTTTGAATAAAATCCTTGATTACTTTTAATTGTCAAAGAGTGCATCACTGTTAATTTCTGACTGCTGACCTCTGGTTGCATGTATAATGATGACATTTTCTCTGACAGCTTTATGGGGAATTTGCTGACCCATTTAAACTTGCAGAGTGTAAGCTTGCAATAATTCATTGTGCTGGTTATTCGGACCCTATATTGGTGCAGACACTTTGGCAAGATATCATAGAGAAAGGTAAGTGCTCACTTACGGGTATATTAGCATACATTATTTAGTGACTTGGTAGAGGAATGCAAGCTGCTAGTGGCTCTCCTATATCTAGAGTAGAGGGTGAGTGGAGGGTATGTAGACATGGCAAAGGGTGGTCCTCCAGAGAATGACCTCAGTTTATACTGGAGAGGGCTCTCAGAGAAAAGGATGTGTCATTTTTGTGGTTGTACTTTTTTTTTTTTAATGTTTGTTGATTTATTTTGAGAGAGAGGGAGGTGCACGCAAGCTAGGGTGGGGCAGAGAGAGAGGGAGACAGAGAATCTCAAGCAGGCTCCACACAGCTAGCATAGAGTCTGACACAGGGTTCAAACTCAAGAACTGTAAGATCATGATGTGAGCCGAAGTCAAGAGTCAGACTCACAACTGACTGAGCCAGCCAGCAGCCTCTGTGGTTGTACTTAATAAGGGATTCTGAGACACTTTTCCAGAATCCTGTAACGAGCGCCCTGGTAAGACAAGAGTATTTCAAACACTAACAGAAACAGAGTATCTGCTCATTATATTAGAATCATTTCTAGGGCATTTGTACCTCGAAACAGAATAAAATAGCCAATTTAAACATTTCCGATTAAAAAATTTAGGTTTCTAATGGCGTGTCTTTTTCTTGCAGAATTGAATGAAAGTGTGACGTTGAGCTCCCCGGATAGAATGCATGCTCTTAGTCTCAAGGTTGTGCTCCTTGGCAAAATTTATGCTGGCACACCTCGCTTCTTTCCTTTAGGTAAGCAATAACCTTAAGTGCTATCAGAGGTGTTTTGTTTTCTTTTGATGGTTTTCTTCATTGCAGTGGAAATGCAATGTTCTTCAGAGTCGAATTGTTTCTTTGTTGCTGTTTAGCTCAGCAGTTTATTTCTGCCTCTCCAGAAAGACTTCCAAAGATAGCAGAAATTTGTTGATAAATAGATAGGAAACTTTCTTTGACCTTCCAGGTTTATATATCTATCTGGAAACAGTGCTAACAAACTGTTATGATTGTATTGTTGGTAACGCTATGCAAGTTCAAGGAGAAAAGAAAAATGGCTGGTGTTTTTCTGCATGGGCAATCTGTGATTAATTCAACTGCAGTCTATTATACTGAGGACATATTTTTCTTTAAAATAGCAGATAGTTGTGTTAAAAATGCAATTTTGAACCCCTTTCTTATCCAAATATACTGACAATAATTGTTATCTATGTAGTGACTCTTAATTATTAGCCATTTGCCAATGTGTAATGTTTTCTTCAACTGTAAATTAACATAAATACACCCATAACATAGAATGTTAAGCACCTAGTGTTTTTGAAAAATGTTGAGAACCAGGAAAGTGCTCACAACATAACATTAAATTGGGTTTTGTTTTTGTTTTTTGTTTTTTGTTTTTTGTTTTTTTTTGTTTTGTTTTTTTTTAACGTTTATTTATTTTTGAGACAGAGACAGAGCATGAACGGGGGAGGGTCAGAGAGAGAGGGAGACACAGAATCGGAAGCAGGCTCCAGGCTCTGAGCCATCAGCCCAGAGCCCGACGCGGGGCTCGAACTCACGGACCGTGAGATCGTGACCTGAGCCGAAGTCGGACGCTCAACCGACTGAGCCACCCAGGCGCCCCTGTTTTTTGTTTTTAGAGAGAGAGTGCACACGAGCAGGGAGAGGGGCAGAGAGAGAGAGAGAGAGAGAGATAGAGAGAGGATCTTAAGTAGGCTTCATGCTCAGTGCCGAGCCCAATGTCCGGCTCGATCCCACAATCCTGGGATCATGACCTGAGCTGAAATCAAGAGTCAAACACTCAACTGACTGAGCCACCCAGGCACCCCTAAATTGTTTTTTGTTTGTTTGTTTGTTTGTTTGTTTTAATGTTTGTTTATTTTTGACAGAGAGAGATTGAGAGACAGAGTGTGAGCAGGGGAGGGGCAGAGAGAGAGGGAGACACAGATTCCGAAGCAGGCTCCAAGCTGTCAGCACAAACCCCAACACGGGGCTCAAATTCATGAGCTGTGAGATCATGACCTGAGCTGAAGTCAGCCGCCCAACTGACTCCGCCTCCCAGGCACCCCTGTTTTTTGTTTGTTTGTTTGTTTGTTTTCTTTGTGGGGTTTTTTTTGGTTTTGCTTTTTGTTTTTTTAATGTTTTTATTTATTTTTGAGACAGAGAGAGAGCATGAGCAGGGGAGGGGCAGAGAGAGAGGGAGACACAGAATCTGAAGCACATTCCAGGCTCTGAGTGGTCAGCACAGAGCCTGACGCGGGACTCGAACTCACAGACTGTGAGATCATGACCTAAGCTGAAGTCGGATGCTCAACCGACTCAGCCACCCAGATGCCCCTTTTTTTTTTTTTTTTTTTTTTAAATGAGGATAGAGACTTGTTTATAGACCATCTCTGATTTAGGACCTCTTCCCTGAAGATGTCAAGAAATAAAACCATTATAGTCATGCCATTTTTCTTGTAAGTATAGATTGAAACTGCCATGATATTTCATTAATGAGGAAAATAAAGACAAAATTAAAACTTAACAATTTTAATAATTTTAAAAAGGCCACGTTATACATAATTTCTTTTGAGGTATTTCTGCTTTGACTTAGGTTTTTATTTTTATTTTACTTTTTTTTTAATGTTTATTTATTTGAGAGAGAGTGAGCAAGGGAGGTGCAAAGAGAGAGGGAGACAGAATCCCAAGAAGCCTCCACACTGTCAGCACAGAGCCCGATGCAGGGTTTGAACTCGTGAATCATGAGACCGTGACCTGACCAAGAGTGAGACAACCAACTGACAAAGACACCCTGGCACCCACTGACTTGGATTTTTAATTTTTGAGCCCAACAAAGTTTAGGGTAGAAGAGTCCTTTTTCTTTCTTTCTTTCTTTCCTTTTTTTTTTTTTTTTTTTTGTCCATCTTTCAATGACAAACTTCTGAGGGCTTCAAACTAGAAGTTTAGGGCTTTTGAATTTTGATTACCTATGCAAAATTTTTGTATGGTAAATACTAGAGGAGACGCAGGTTCAGTAGCAGCCTTTTCGGTGATTCCTCTTGCCCATCGATGTTCACATTGGTCAGTCTCGGATTTTAAGTATCATAAATATGAATGTGAGTGTTATTGTTACAATCTTATGACATGACAAGTAGTAAAAAATGAGAATAAGGCCTACTTTTTAGTATCAGGAATTACCAATTCTATAACAACAACAAAATAGTAATTATGTGAGGTGAAGTACATGTTAACTAACCTTACTGGAGTAAACATTTCACAGTATGTATGTGTATCACATCACATTGTATACCTTAAACTTACACAATGTAATATGGCAGTTATAGCTCAATAAGCTGAGGGTGGGGAGGGAGTTAACAATTCTAATTTCTGATCTTTTTCCCTCTCCAGATTTTATTGTGCAGTTTTTAGAACAGCAAGTTTGTACTTTGAACTGGGATGTAGGTTTTGTAATACAGACAATGAATGAAATTGGAGTGCCATTACCTAGGCTACTGGAAGTATATGATCATTTGTTCAAGTCACGGGTAAGGAAAATATGAAATAAAATGAAATAATATTTTTTTAATTTAAAAAATTATATTTAATGTTTATCTTTAAGAGAGAGGGAGAAGTAGAGTGCAAGCAAGGGAGGGGCAGAGAGAAAGGGAGACACAGAATCTGAAGCAGGCTCCAGGCTCTGAGCTGTCAGCACAGAGCCCAACACAGGGCTTAAACTCACAAACTTGGAGATCATGACCTGAGCTGAAATCGGACGCTTAACTGACTTACCCAACCAGTCACCCCTGAAATAATTTTATTTAAGGTAAATGAACATTTTCTGGATAAAAGAGGGAGAGCATTTTTTTTTTTTTTAATTTTTTTTCAACGTTTTTTATTTATTTTTGGGACAGAGAGAGACAGAGCATGAACGGGGGAGGGGCAGAGAGAGAGGGAGACACAGAATCGGAAACAGGCTCCAGGCTCTGAGCCATCAGCCCAGAGCCTGACGCGGGGCTCGAACTCCCGGACCGCGAGATCGTGACCTGGCTGAAGTCGGACGCTTAACCGACTGTGCCACCCAGGTGCCAGGGAGAGCATTTTTATTTATATCTCATATGATAAAATCGATCAGAAATTTGCTTCATTTGTTGAACATAAATTATCATACTTTAGATTCCTAAAACCGATAATGAGTTGTTTTGCTTTATATTATAAAAATAAAATATTTCATAATATTAGTAAACATAGTTATATTTGCTATACTCTTGGTGGAATAGGCTAAACCCATACATTAAGAATTACCATTTAATGGGGCGTCTGGGTGGCTCATTCGGTTAAGCGTCCCACTTTGGCTCAGGTCATGATCTCACAGTTTGTGAGTTCGAGCCCCACATCGGGCTCTGTGCTGATGGCTCAGAGCCTGGAGCCTGCTTCGGATTCTGTTGTCTCCGTCTCTCTCTGCCCCTTTCCCACTTGTGCTCTGTCTCTCTCTGGCTCTCAAAAATAAATAAAAAAAAAAAAAATTTTTTTTTAAGTAAATTGTAACCTTTAATAAAAAAAAGAATTACCATTTACTTTAACAAAACAAAATAACAGTGTATTTATTCCTTATAACTTCATTTAAAATATACCAAACATCTTCCTCACCACCAGAAAAGAAAACTTTTGTTAACTGTGATGGTGATGCCTGGTAACTAGATTTATGGTGATCATTTCTCAGTATAAACAAATAGGGAATCGTTACAATGTACACCTGAAACTAATAGGTGTCAGTTATACCTCAATGTAAATAAAAATCTTTCTTACCACATTGAGCCTTATCAGACTATGTATTTTCTAATTTTTATCCTAAGATAAAAGATCCAAATTAAATCTTGTTGACGTATATATTATTCTTTTATGGTAGCACCATCAAAACGTTTATGCAGTGCTTTACAAGGCTCTTGTATATCTCATTTAAGCCCCACAATGAGCCTACGATGGAAAATGAGCAAGTAGTAGTATCCCCATTTTCTGCTACATCTGACAAGGGCTCAAGTCACATAGCTAATAACTGGTAAAACTAGAACTAGAATTAAGATTCTTCACTGGTTCATGGGCTCAGTCAGTTGAGTGTCCACCTCTTGGTTTCAGCACGGGCGCCTGGGTGGCTCAGTCAGTTGAGTGTTTCAGCTCAGGTCATGATCCCAGGGTCATCAGGCTCTGTGCTGAGTATAGAGCCTGGTTGAGATTTTCTTTTTCTCTCTCTCTGTTCTCTCCCCACCCCTCCTCAAATAAAAAAATGAGAAAAACATTTTTTTTTAATTAAAAAGATTCTTTACTGGTTTAGTCTTTTATTTACAGTATCAGACTAAGTGTGCATAGGTGTAAAGTAAAAGTGATGTCACAGCTATCAAGAAGAGAAACATAAATGATTAAAAAATCAGTTGACAAAAAAGAAAAGAAAAATCAGTTGACACAGTTTGCTTTATAACTCATGATGTGTATTTTTTTTATAGGATCCATTCTGGAACAGAATGAAGAAGCCACTGCACCTTTTGGATTGCATACATGTGCTATTGGCAAGATATGTTGAGAATCCTAGCCAAGTTTTAAATTGTGAGAGGTAACTATAATGGTTTCAAATGTTTCTAATAGGTATCTGGGCAACTAAGTTGGAGAGAATGAAGGAAGATGTGGAGATTAACTGGTTGAATGATACCAATTAGCATGTATAAAAGGTTAGAGTTTTTACCATTTTTCAAACCTTGTCCTAAATCCTTTCTATAGGTAAAGTGATATGAGTTATGAATTACTTCTACACTGCTTCTGTTTTGAATTAGTGACTTAGTGTAGTTCAGTTGTGCCTTTGTGATATTATTGGCCATTTCAAGGTATATTTGTTTGAAAAGACCAAAAAAATGTAAATAATTTCATTGTAGGAGTCATACTTAATTGCTTCTTTCCCGTTATAATAATCTTCCAAAGGAAAATGGTGGTTATGTGGTAATTCACCTATCTCCTGCATTTCTTGTCTGTTTTCATTTATTTACCATTTACTTAATCCTATAATCCTTGCTCTTTGTGGGACTATACTAAAATTAGCAGAAGTTGGAGAGAAGTCTTATGGGAGGAAATGTTTCTTAGGAGAAAAAAAAGCAAACTCCCGTGTGAGAAAGGGGAGAGGAAATGTTTCTGAATGTATTGATAGTTGATCAGGTATCTTTTCTTTTACAGGAGAAGATTTACAAATCTGTCCCTGGATGCTATCTGTGGTTATCTGGTTGAGCTTCAGTCTATGAGCTCGTCAGTAGCAGTACAAACCATCACAGGAAATTTTAAATCTCTTCAGGCTAAACTCGAACGGCTTCATTAATATTATAATGTATTTTCATCTATGCATTTTGATCTGTAAAATAAAAGCTCAGCTGTCCAGATATCAGGTGCTGTAAATCTAAGAACAACTTTAATAGAAATGTGGTTTTAAAAGTGGCTACTATCTACAAACAGTACATTTGCCAGATGAATTATTTTTTACTATTTTGTTTTTTAATAATGAGGTTAAGAAACACCTGAACTAAGATTACCTATGATCTTAACACAAGAATAAAAAATATTTAGAAACTCTTATTTTTAATTTAATGCAGGCAGAAATTTTGAACTTATGCTATTCATTTTCAAGTTAGTCCAAGGATATGGATACTAAAACTTAAATAGGCTAGGTGAGCAGGTCCCATAATACTGGATTCTACAACAATCCTTTTTTTTTTTTTTTTTTTAATGTTTATTTATTTTTGAGAGGGAGAAAGACAGAACATGAGCAGAGGAGGGGCAAAGAGACAAGGAGACACAGAATCCAAAGCAGGCTCCAGGCTCCAGGCTCCGAGCTGTCAGCACAGAGCCCAACGCAGGGCTCAAATTCACAAACCACAAGATCATGACCTGAGCTGAAGTCGGACGCTTAACCGACTGAGCCACTCAGGCGCCCCTACAACAATCCTAATACAGGCAAATAAACACTGTCTCTTTTTAAAAATTATTTAGGTTTTAGGTTCATCTTTGGAAAGGAAATTTCTTTCCAGCTACTTTCTTTCCAGCTACTAATTTTGCCACAATTCCTAAAGATTAATACATACCTGGCTGTTTCTTGAGCAGGTGGCAAATGTGTAACAAATGTTCTATGTCCTAAAAACCTACACAGAGAGATACTGTTTTCCTTTAGTGTCTACCTACCAGTCCTTGAGACTGATTACTGACTCCATTAAAGCAGTGGTTCTCAAAGTACGCACCAAATGGCCACATAAACATCATCTGGGAATTTGCTCCCTGTATGATTCCCCCTCCTCCCTCCCCAGTCAATAACCATAATAAATGAGTTTTACCCAAGATATGATATATAAAGCAAAATCATTAGGAATGTAGTTTTTAGCCTTCAACAAATTGGAATAAACTTAACCAAGTTCCCCAAAGTCATGGCAACAAGGGAGGAGAATAGAGTGGGAATGACCAGGACTAACAAAAAGCAGGAACATGGACTTCTTTCCTTTCACCTTTTATGCTATCAAGAGTAATCACCTTCTGCTTATTGTCACTAAAACATGTCTAACAATTTTTACAGTACATTTTGAAAATATTTTTCTTTCTTATACTTTCCCAAGATCGTGGGTTGACCTTTTCATATTCTCCTAGAATGTAGTTCCCTTTTTCCCATAATCTTCTAATTCATAATATTTAATAGACTGTCAAAATGTCATACATAGGTACCACTAACTCTCATAATTTTCAGCTTTCAGTTCCTTTAGTTTTTTTAATATGTAAAATTTAAGTTATACACTGTTAATTTTCTAAGCTTAAAATTCTGTGATGTCTACTTAAAATGAAAGTCTTGCTTAAATGTTATTTAGCCATGACTCCAGTCCTGGAAAAAAAAATGTATACACACACACGTATATATAATTAGACCATTTACACACAAACACATTAATATCCATGTTAAATATACTCAACTCACAATATTAAAGCTATATCTTTCAAAAGGAAAGCTAACAGGGCTAAATGGTCCTTAGGAGTCAGAAATCTTAACCCTGTTCCTTTCATCACAGAACACCTTCTGAGGTTTATAAAACTTCCAGCTACTCAGCAGATGTTTTCCATATCCTTGGGAGAGTGAGACCCTTAAGAGACATTAGGTCCTCTCCTTTTTAACTGTCTAGAACAGTGTTTCTAAAACTTTTAATTCATAAGAACCACCTGGTGTCCTCAAAAAAATAAATGTTCCACCTGTAATGTGATGCTGGTACTGGTGGTCATTGGATCAAACTTGGAATAGCATTGTTCTAGCACATTTATCTACTGTATTAGTGTATTTTGTACTTGGTATGTATTCAACACATTTCTTTATAATGACTATTAAACATATAGACAATGAATAATAACATTGTTTATGAAACAGTGCATTCATTGTAGGCAGTGAGGAGTCACTGAAGATCTTGATTGTGACATATTTGTTTTAGGTAGATCATTTTCATGTGGCAAAATGGTCAGGAAAGAAGAGAAAAATCTATTTTGAGTAACTGCAAGATATGGGATATTGACCCTGAAATGCATGTGATGTATGTCCAACATTTCTTTAGTTATAACATATGCGACTTTCTAGTGACTTGTTCATTGAACACACTTCTCTACCCATCACATGCATTTCCTCCACATTTATGTTTTATAGTTAATTTCATCTCAGGATCACAGATTGCTCATTCTCTTCCTCAGGATACTTCCTGCCCTCTTTTCCTCTTTTTCATGAGAGGAAAAATTATGAAAGTGATATAGTTGTATCAAGAAAATGAAAAACTGGAATATTAAATGTAAAGGTCTTGAAAGGGCACATAATTTTCTTTCATTTTTCTATCAGTTTTTTCATTTAAATTCTCTTAATAATAAAACATTTTTTCCAGAATATTTTTGAGCCTTCTAGTAAATCATTTAAACTCTACAAACTTTTATTTTCCTAATCACATTTTCCTCATAAGAAGATTAAAGTAGAAGACTTACTTAAATCTAAAAGTTGGTAAGAACTAATGTAATCTATTTTTATTTAGTTTTGTTCTATACTTCAAATATTAATTTAACAATGCTATTATTTTTACTTCTTTTTTATTGCAAATTTTTTTTTAAGGGAGCTCACCCATGTGTAAGTGGGGGAGGCGCAGAGGGAGAGAGAGAGAGAAAGAGAATGAATGTCAAGCAGGCTGCATGCCCAGTGTGGAACCCAACTCTGGGCTTGATCCCACAATCCTGGGATCGTGACCTGAGCTGAAATCAAGCGTCAGACGCTCAACGACTGAGCCATCCAGGCGCCTCTAAACGTCATTTCTAAACTGCATTATGACATGCTTGAAATGAAACATTTGTTTTAAAGCCCTCAGTTACGCTTTTTGCATTTAGGAAGCTCCTATCAGCAGGATGCTAACCCTTTTTAAGATTAATCAGTTTACCATGCAGGAGCTAGGATTAGCATTATCTCCAGCCCACACCTGAGTTTTCGCTAGTGCGATGAACATTTGTATTTGGTTGACCTCCAAAGCTCCTCAGTCAAAATGTGACTGGATCTGTGTTCACTCCTCTCCCTGCAATCTGCCCACTCCTGTTCCTCCTCCTCTATTTTCTTTTTTTTTTTTTTTCTTTTTCTTTAAGGTAAGCTTTATACCCAACATGGGGCTTGAACTCATGACCCTGAGATCAAGAGTCTCATGCTTTACCAACTGAGCCAGCCAGATGCCCCTCTCCTGTATTTTATACCTCAGTCTTTATCATCTGAAATTTCCACTCAAATATGAGTAGTATCCTTAAATTCTTCCCTCTCATTCCAAATCCAGTCGCCAATTTCTTAGCAAGTTTGTTTTCTTAATATCCATTTATCTGTTCAATTATCTCACTATTTTAGGTTTTTAGGGTTTAATGAGGTTATTCTACTTCACTTGGATGTCTACAGTAATGTCTAACTGGTCTTCCTGCCTCTAATTTGACACCCCTTCTTTGTTCCTTTTCCACACTAACATTAGTGCAGGGTACCTGGGTGGCCTAGTCAGTTAAGCGTCCGACTTTTAATTTCAGCTTAGGTCATGATCTCACAGCCCTGTGATTGAGCCCCATATCAGGCTCTGCGCTGGGCATGAAGCCTGCTTAGGATTTTCTCTTCCTGTCTGCTGCTCCCCCAGCTCAGGCACGTGTGCACGCAAGCTCTTTCAAAAAAAGAAAGAAAAGATGTTGAAAAAACAAAATGTACACCTACATATACTCCCACGTTTTCCCTTGGAAGAAATTCCAAATTTCTGGTGTGGCATTAGGACTTTATTGCAGTTGGCAAAAACAAAAATAAGAATTTTAGTTTAAGCCAAAGAAGAATTTATTAGCCTTCAAAACTAAGAAGTCCAAGTATAAACCTACTTCTGCATGGCTAGTTCCAGAGCCTTGATATCTTCAGGGCTTTCTCTAGGTCAGTTCTGCTCTTCTCTTCATGTTTATTCTTTGTGTCTGCAGACAGTTTACTCCATACCTCCTGGGAGAATGCAGGGAGTGTCAAGTGACTTTATCTCCCTCACTCTAACCCAGACATATAGTCAATGGAGAAGTCCTAGGAAAGGTTCTGGTTAACTCAGCTTGAGTCATGGACTCAGTCTTGGGGTGTGGTGGTACAGGATCATCACCCAAAGTATACAGAACAGGAAAGAAGTGTTTTCTTAAAGAATTGAATGCTAGGCACACAGCATTCCACATAAGTCCACTATATCTGTCCACCTACCTTGCTTACCACTTACTTCCTAATGCTATATATAATGAAGACGATAAGCCCATAGAGCCAAGAAACACAATGAATCCAGAGCAGGACAGACACAAAATCACACCAAAGCATATCATAATCAAATTCTCAGCAAATAAAAAATAGAAGGGAACCTATTCAGTCTGATAAAAAGACATCTATGGAACATGTACAGCTAAAATCACACCTAATGGTAGAAGACCAAAAACTTTCTCCTTGAAGTTGCGAACAAAATATGGATGTTTCTTTTCCACATTGTGGTTGGAGGTTCTGATCATTGCAACTTGGCAAACAAAAGAAATGTAAAAACGTATAAATTAGAAAAGCAGAAATAAATACATGGACAGGCAATTATATAGAAAATCCTATAGAATATACAGAAAATACTAGAACTACTAACTAGGAAAAAATGGTAGAACTAATAAGTTACATCACAGGACACAAGGTCAACATACCAATTGCATTTCTATATACTAGCAACAATTAAAAATTTTTAAACACTCCTTTAAAATAGCATTTAAAAAAACGAAAGAAAAAATACCCCCTCTCTCTGCCTTAAAATAAAATAAGAGGGTCACCTGGCTGGCTCAGTCAAAAGAGCATGCGACTCGATTTCACGGTCA